AAAAAATAATAAAAGGATCCAGTTTTATTGTTTTTATTTAAAGGTGGGGAAAGGAAGCCATGCAAATCCTCAAGAAAAAGCAGCTGAATTTAGTTTTAAATGGATTTAGGAGAATGCCCAAAGAGTTGTAAAAATTACAATGACTATTTAAAAAAAGTTCCCTTCTCAACTCATGTTCAAATAGTTAAAAATGAATTAGTCTCCTGAATGTTTGCAGCTTAGCTGTGCCTAGATTTAAAAAGTACATAGATACTAGATCCAGTGGAGACTGGCTTTTCCTTTACCAACCCTGCCACAGAGAAAATAGCATGTGGCATGTGCTGTGTATTTACCACATAGTAGTCATACTTTGGTTTACAAAAAAAAACTTTCAAAAAGTTGCTTCTAAAATTTGTGTGTGGTGTGTGCGTGTGTGTTTGACATCAGAATAACCATATTCAAAGTCTAGAGTGCAGCTATAAGATAAGCTTTTCAGAAAACACAAGCTCTTTTGCCCTTTCAGCCCCTTCCCTCAGTCCGCAAATATGCACATACCAACCTCCCCGGTTGTTTTGTCCCCAGGACAGCAGCTACTACTGAAAAGCTGATGTAGAGGTGTGCAGGCTGCTGGTTTGAAGAAACAGATAACGAAGTAGCACAAATGTCAAGCATCCTGCCTCATTTAACCCTACAAATGATTAAGTTTGAAGGATGTTTAAAAAAAAAACAAAACTGAGTTCATTTCATAGGCACTACATCATCTGATAAATGCATTTTAAAAGTTCACTTAAAATCTGATAGTCAAGATTTATTTAATGTTTTTAAACATGTCTAGGTACAATGAATTCATTTGTAACTCGGTTTACTGTGATTTTTCAGTGAATTTCTGTGTTCCCCAGTTGAGTGTAAGGTTCATGAAGATAAGGACTGTCTGTTTTGCTCACTACCTTATTTGAAGCATCTAGCCCAGTACCTAGCATGTTTAATTTACTGAAAAGGCTTTTACAAATACGGTCATTTCTAATTTTCATATGTAAATTATCTAATTAGTAGCTAAAATAATATATATTTTTAATCATGCAAATCCTCTATCCAGACTGCCCTGTGCCAGGAAATAGGTTGTTGGGTAGAGATGCATTTGTTCAGTCACTTGATCAGCATTTGTTAAGTATCCAGCACCAATCTCATTCCTTGCCCTGCATGTCGTTCAGTGTAGAGGCCACAGCAGCGGAGGCCGTCATTTACCAGTGTACCCCTAAACCTCTGCTCCTCCCTTTTCTTCTGGTCTCCATTTTCAGGAGAGGGAGCTGCAAGGACATTGGAATGAGAAAGACATTTGGTTTGGGC